AAGCGGTTAAGATCACTTTTATTGTTATTACAGAGAATGTAAATATCCCCTGTGATAGCAATAGGCAGTGACAGGTATTATTTTCTGAGAAATATGGAATCTATTACATTCTAGATTTTTTTCCTCTGCCCTTAAAGCATCTGATCACACCAAGATCGGTGTGATCGGAAGCTTTCCCAATTTTAAAATGGTGCTGTTTATATCAGAAAACAACAAAAACCACAATGATCAAATGTTTGTTGCCTTCAGTTTCTTAGACCTTAGTGATGATTGGAGCCATTCTGGTCTCTGATCAGCTCTATGGTCAGCCAGCGGAACCTCCGGATGAATTCTCTGGAACTGGAGAGCCCAAGAAAGCCGTGGGAGGGATATCCCTTTCCACTGCTTGTAAAAGCGATCCAGCAGCTAATTAGCCACTAGGATTGCTATTACATGAAAGCCAACCGCCAGCTGAACAAATCGATACCAGGATGATGGCTGTAGCTACAGGCATCATCCTGGTATAACCACTCAAAATCCAGCAACATACCAGTATGTTGCTGTTCCTTGTTGGGCATATACGTAACAGCAGAGCATGGGCATATGATGACTGGGTCTGTGGACCAATATGACCACAATTCATTCTTTTTTGTAATGCTCATGTTGAAGGTTAGTCCTAAAAATGTTTTAAATTCAGAAACCGTGATAGGTTACCATGCAAATTGTCAGGCAATAACTGAATTTGGGTGGGCGGCGATGTATTGTTGTGCGTATAAATTGCTTTGGCCCACAATCAATTAATACAAATCTTCCATGAAATACAGTGAAGGGGCTAAATGGTAGTGCTGGCAGTGAACGGGGCTGACCCTGCTAACACTGCATTTTTTGGGAACACTATACAAAGGAGGCAGTAGTATGGTTCTGTTTGTAATCAATATATTGATCCATAAAAACACTTTACTAATGGATAAGGAAGGGAGATGCTCAATTAAGAGATCTAATGAAAGGTGTGGAAATTTGCCCCTTAGTAGAATTGAAGAAGAAGAGGGAGTTATTCATTAAAGTATGAGTGGCGGTATCTACAAATAAAACATTTCATAGAAAAACTTCCTAGGCCCCTAAGGAAGAAAGAACAATGGAACCCATTCGAAAATGTGTTTAGTACACGGGGAGATGGGAAACATGGAACTTCGAAAATATATAAAATTTTTACTAAGTTAACAACAAATACGGTACCTGTCAGAGACCCCAGATTTGTCCACGATTGCGCACGGGTCTGCGCATGAGCAGTATGCCCAGCCACACTAGCGTGCAAGCATTGGGACCTGAGTACTTGTTACCTGCTTGATCGATAACATGTTTATGCTCTCCAAATCTCATCCTAAGGGTATGGATGGTTCTGACTATATATAAAATAGACAGCACGGGCACGTGAGAGCACAGATTACAAAATTGGTAGAGCAGGTATAAAATTTGGAAATGGGGTATATTTTGCTGTTAACTGTAAAGGACTTGAAACCATGCTGTACGAATGGACACTTTAGGTGTTTTTTATTGTGACAGCGACACATGCCTGGAATGTTAGAGAAAAAGCTACCTGGTATTCTGGAAATAGACTCTTTTTTTCTTTAACTTGCTGAAGGCTATCTGGCCCTTTATATTTCGGGCTTGGCGATAGGCAAATCTAGGTTGAATGTTTAATATCAGTTTGAGTTTAGGATCCTGAAATTATATACCCCAATGTTTTTGATAACCCTTTCCATTGTTTTATATTGGAAGTAGAGTTGTGCGATAAAACACAACTCTATCACTACACTATCCATGGAAGATTGTTTGGCAGAAGGATCAAGTGGCAGGAGGATCAAGATATTTGAGAATGGTATCCCCAATTAACTCTTCAGGATATCCTTTTTCTAGAAATTTTTGTTTTAGTATGACACCTTGTTCCATGTAATGAACATCAAAGGTACAAGTCCTACAAAGTTGGTGGAACTGACTTTTTGGAATGTTTTGTTTCAGCATAGCCCATGTAAAAAGTTTCAATTAATGCCCCTTTAATGTGAGTGAGGTAGAAGACTGATTTGGGTTTAAGTGTGTTTTACTGGAAGAGTATGGTCTGAGAAATATTCTGGGTTAATGTCTCCATTTTCCCATAGTAACTCTTCCAAAAACTGCAAGGTATTTATGTCTGTAATCGAAAGAAGCGGGAAGACAAGTGTACTTGTAAGGTCATTCTCATTGGCAAGACGATGTTGGTTGACAAACTTTTTAACTGTAAGATCTTTGATGAACTTATTAAGGTCTTTAAATAATGTGTATAAATTAGATCCTACCAAAGTTCAAACCTTTATGTAAAAGAGAAATCTCATCACTAGAAAGACAATATTGGGATAGATTGAATATTTTTACAGTACAGGATGAATTTCTTTTTTGGCTTTTTTTCCTTCCATTTCTCCTTTGACAAAGGAGTGGTCCTTGTTGCCTCAAAACGCATAACCACACCCCCACACCTTCCATGTCATCCACTGGATGTCTCTTGCATCGCTGCTGTAGCTCCAGATCACCATCGACAGCATGCTCCGCACTGCATTGAGGGTGCTGCATACTCCAGCTGTGTCCGTTCTGACCATCGAACATCATCAGCACTTGCACAGCACCATCCATTTGGTGTTCCTGGCTGCCTCTAGGCTTAGCTCTGCCAAACCAGCTGCAGCCCTGCTGAGCCCTGCAGATCTCCAGTTGATGTTTATGGTTTTATCTTCTTATTAAATGTGAGTGCATTTCTTAAATTAATTCCCATTCACTTTGCCTGAGCAACTTATTAGTTCTCTGAGCTCCTGTCTGTTGCTATGCTTGTATCCTGTATCTGACTACCCATGTACCGACCCTGGCTTTGTCAACTGGCTATGCTTGATTTCCATCTGTCCTGACCTTAGCTTGTCTATCGGCTTCCCTGTTGTCTCCTGGATTACACTATGCTTAAGCGATTGGTCTCCGCATCCTCAGCTGGGCGTACCTGGGGGCCGCGACCTGGTTCTAGCTTGCTGCAAGTCCATCCCCAACATCAGGGGCTCAGGTGAAGAAGCAGGCTGGGGCTTAGACTCCGCGCCCTGGGGAACCCCGAGTTGGCGGTCTACAAGGGCTCACCACCACAGGTTCGTGACATGGTTCGATGCCTATGGACACATTAATACGAATATTGCTAATTTCACAGTTTTATTCACTTTGCTGGCTGGCTTTCATTTTTAGGATTTGCGAAGGTTTATGTGTATTGCTTAAAGTGACAGTGCAAGAAATTTGAGTTTTTTAAAAAAAATTATATAAAAACCTCTGCACTCATGTAAAATAGTGTATACTAATTAAGCTGTAGGCACCTAAATTGTGATGCCCTATATACTGTACCAAACTGATCAACCAAAAAGGTGCCCTCTGAGTGGTCAAAAGGCACTATATGATTATGTAAGAATCTATGGATAATCTGTGTGGCCATCCAAAGGTTTAGCTTTATGTATAGAGATGTAAAATTTCCAGAAATTTTGAAGCCATGGAAAAAATGTGTTTCCTCCTGTTTTTTTCTAGAAAAAAATGGAAGTTTTGGAAACATGTAAAAAAAAAAAATTCAGTGTTGGGTACAATTTGAAAGTAATTTTGTTACACTGGGAATGTAAAAAGCAGTGTATATAAAAAAGTATTATGCTTGAAATAAAAGTACAGCGTATTCAGTAAAGCCCAATACACACTATAAGAAAATCAGATAAATAATCATCAGGTTTTCCTCGATATTTCACAGCAGGTCAAAACTGAGGAAGGGTACTAACAGTATGAAAATTCTTCTATGGCAAAGGCTTTTTTTGTTGTTTATTGTTTCTGATCATGCACAGTCTTTCATATCCAATTTTTCCCATACAAAAACCATACATATTAAACGAAAATTGTTAGTTCTGTTTGCGTTCGAGAAAAATTTGGGAGTTTGTCCCTTTGGAAATTTTCACGTGGAAAGTCTGAATCGGGTGTCAAAAGTTGTGTACACACTATGCGAAAACCGAACAATAGTGCCTTGTACAGAATTTTTCTTCCGATCAGTGTACCCCACTGTTTTTTAAAATTGTATTTTTTTTATGAGAAATGGAATGACAAGGACTATATATCTTAAGAACATTTCAGCTATACATGAGAATAGGTAACCACCCCTTTTCCCTCATAATAATGTACAAGCTTCCTGCCAATATGCATTTTCAGTTATTGACAATGCTAATTCAGAAGCATATATTGCTCTTGCAAGAGCTTGATCAACATTCTCCTGATTTTCATGTGTCATTTTAACTATAAATGAAGGGATTGTTTATTTTTTGCAGGCAGTAGTTTGTAACACTTTCTAACTTGAAGATGCTGCTAGTGAAGAAACACTTTGTGATGATCTAGAAGTGCAGAAAGTGTTTCCTAAATGAGAACTCTGGAGGGAAAAGCTACTTGCACTTTCATTATGGTCCTTATCATTTCATTGCATAAAGTATTTTTACTTCTGTCATGCCAGGATGTGTTTTGTCATCCTTGTAGCATTGGGAAAAGAATATTTCTTCTCACAATTTTTGCAAATTGCAGCTTTGCTCTCAGCAGAAATTGCACTGTGGAAATGTTTCCAAACTCTAGATACTGGTCTCAACATTTTAAGGAGAGGTGGAAGAGAAAAAAACATTTTACTGACCAAACTATAGGTAAACCCTATGCTGTGATGGTGGAGAACATTAATATGAACCATTGAAAGGTTATAAAGATAAACTAATTTGTCAGACAAATTTAACCTCTTACCTGTCAATTAATGCCTTGAGAGAAACTATCTACTGTCCAATCCTTGCAATAATTTGAGACTTTACATAAAGTCTCAAAAACCATTTAATTAAGGTCTTCATGTTATATAGTTTGAATACCACAAAATACAATTCGGGTACCCGCTCACCCCCCCCCTGCAGTCTCCATCCCCTGTACTGTGTCCACAGTCTTTTGTCATCTATAGTATGTCTGCAGTCTCTGGTCATCCCTGTACTGTGTCCGCAGTCTCTGGTCATCCCCTGTACCATGTATGCAGTCTGTGGTCATCTCTTGTACTGTGTCCGCAGTCTCTGGTCATCTCCTATACTGTGTCCGCAGTCTCTGGTCATCTCCTGTACTGTGTCCGCAGTCTCTGGTCATCTCCTGTGCTGCGTCTGCAGTCTCTGGTCATCTCCTGTACTATGTCCGCAGTCTTTGGTTATATCCTGTAGTATGTCCACTGTCTCTGGCCATATCCTGTAGTATGTCCACAGTCTCTGGCCATCTCCTGTACTATGTCCACAGTCTCTGGTCATCTCCTGTACTATGTCCGCAGTCTCTGGTTATCTCCTGTACTATGTTTGCAGTCTCTGGTCATTTCCTCTACTATGTCTGCAGTCCATTGGTTCAGAATATTTTTTTTCTTGTTTTCCTCCTCTAAAACCTACTGTAGGTGCATCTTATGGTCAGGTGCGTCATATGGAGCAAAAAATACAGTAGTTGGGTTGGTTAAGTATTTAAATAGTGTTTCTCATAAGAGTGCCCCTTGTGTATAGTTTGCAAGAGTCAGGGAGCAGTTCTGCCTACCGGCATGTTAGTATTTAGCTTGTGCAGTGTGTGTAAGGTCCCTGAGCCCCTGATGACATAATTTGCTGAAACGCATAAGGCCAAGCCTTGACATGTAGACATCATCATAGAAACAGACCAATCTGTGTAATCTCCCCTTAGATTGTTTCAGTCATACTGGTGGTACCATTTATCCTTATTTTTATGTGAGTGCATTGATTGACTGTTTTAACCCCCTTGACGCTGACATCACACAAATATGCGGCCTCATGGAACTGGGCTTTTTTCCGTGGGGCCGCATATTTGCGTACCTGTCTTTGTGCTGGGAGCGCACCGCACTGCGCACTCCCAGCACAAAGACCGCGGTGTCACTGAGAGCCCCGGGTCCCTTTCTAACGATCGGGACTCCCAATTCCAGGTCACATGATCGCTGTGATAGCTTCTAATTGGCTATCACAGTGATCAGTCACTGTGCAGCCCGGCCCCCTTGTTTTTTTTTCCTCTATTAATGGAGAAGAGAGATACATTGTATCTCTCTAACTCCTGGCATAGAGAGAAAAAAAAATGTTTGTTAAAAAAAAAAAAGAAAAAAAAAAGAAAAGATAATTAAATAAATAAATATAAAAAAATAAAATAAAAAATAAAGAAAAAAATACCTAGATCAAGGTTTGATCTAGTTCAGTGCCAGGGTTATTGTTTGGGCCAAGGTCAGGATCAAAGGTCAAAAGGTCAGTGTCAAAGGTCAGGATTTAAAAAAAAATTGGTATCAGTGTCAGTTAGTGTCAATGTCCATGTCAGTGTGTTTTAGGTAAAAAAAACCCACAAAAACAAAATGCGCACTATTGTTCCTGGGCTGTACTATGGGCACAAACAACAAATAGCATACACATATATGAGATCACTGCGATCGTCAAGAGCTGGAGAATTTATTTTGGGTTGTTCTTTGGTGGTAGGTTATGGTAGTAACAAGAAACACACAGCTAAATAAAAAAAAAATTTTTTTTTTTTACTATTTTGGGCCAGTTTTCCTTTGATAATAAAAAAAATGGATATCAGGAGATATCCATTACCATGTACCACCCAAATGAAAGCCCAATTTGTCCTGAAAAAAACGTGGTATAATCCACTTGGATGTACAAAGTAGTTGTGATGATATGTACGGTTTTACTGACACATGTCAACGTTGCAAAATTGTGCTTAGGCATTTAGATTTGTTTTATCCTTAGGCGTGAAGGGGTTAATAAAGTGGATTTTAACTTTACTGTACTATGGAGCTTTTTTTCTCTATTTATTACCCTCTTGCTACAAACTTCTGTCCATCCATCCCACAGGCTGCATTGCCTCAGTAAATTCAGGCTTGTGAGACCATATATATGTTAATGGTCACTTGTATTTTGGTAAGCAGTATCTTTGGTAAGCAGGATCTCTCTGGGTGCTATACATAACTATTGAAGTTTCTCTGAGCATGGATCTTTGTCACTGAGTGGGCTGAGTGGCAGTTTCACTGTGGCAGTGTATGTTCATTTGATTTTTGCATACTGGATACCTGGTCTGTGAATTCCTGCTGGACAACATAGAGATGAACCTTTGGATGGTCACACGAATTATCCATAGACTGTCACATAATCTTCGAGTGCCTTTTGACCACTCATAAATAGAGCGTCATTAACTTCCATTAAGCATTGCGATGTGTCATTATTCCTCAAAGACTCAAAGGTCTGCAAGAATCTGCATTACGCACTTTATTCAAAATTTACTGATTTACACAGTTCTCTTGGACACTTCAATTGTTTATTTTTGTTTATATCATTTTGTTTCCTTAGCGCTGCACCTTTTCGGTTTATTAATTATTAATGGGATCAGGAGAGTGACTAATTCTCTTAAGTGCAACAAGTCTTTCCAGAACTGTTATAGACAACTGCTATGACTATCACGTACCTTGTTAGAGGCTGAATTGACAAGAGAATGTGCCTTACAATTCTGATCTAAACACTCATGGAAATGGTGACAGTGAAAGGACACAACTGGCAAGGATGCCAAGAGTCCAGTCTACAACTGATCACTTCTGGCAGGTAATTTGGCAGAGAGATAGTCTTGTAGACTGCTGAGGAGACCATTAAAGAACCAGATGAGGAAGTCACAGAGAAGAAGACTGGAGCAACAGCTTACAGAGGCACCAGAACCCATGACATGCTGGAGGCATAGTCTGAGGCAGTCAGTAGGTAACAACCTGGAAAGCAAGAATCAGGCAGGACAGGCCGCAGAAGAATTGTTAGGAGGCAATCCAAGGTCAGCAATGGATAGGCAGCAAGCTTCATGGTCAGACAGCAAGCTGAAGTCAGAAGCGGGTAATCAGCAGGATCATGGTCAAGAAGAAAGCTGATGTCAGCCATGGATAATCAGAAGGATCGTTGTCAAGAATCAAGCTGGGACAAAACAGGAGGTAATATGGAAGAAGAATCCAGAGACAAGCCAGGTCAGCAACAACAAATCAGAATACATGCAGATTCAGAACATAGCAAACAGCTGAAGACCATCTAGCAATCTCTTTTTCAACACTCTTCTTTAAATAGGCTTCTTGGTGGCATATCTGGATATAAGCCTGCACGTGCATTCTTCTCCTAGAACTGTCCTGATGATAAATTTAAAGCAGGGCTGTTTTAATAGCACAATGGGCCCCTGGGCAAAGTAATCCACTGGGGCCCCTTCCAGGGAGATGGTGACCTGTGGTGCACGTAGTGCACTGCAGCAAAAAGTGGTTGTGGCTAAATCATCTAAATATTGGGCATAGCTTTTAGGTCTGATTAGAAACAACAAATAAACACAACCAGGGAATTATCCCAAATTAAATTCACCCCCTGTACACACTGTCCAGCCATCTCTACACATTGTCCTCCTGTAAACACTGACCTCCTGTATACACTGACCTACTTTTCCCCTGTATATACTGCCCCTGTGTCATAAATGTCTCTCCCAGCTTGTCAGCTTTATGTAAGTCTGTATGTTGATGTCTGCAGCTTCCGACACGGTCGACCACCCCCTCCTCCTCAAAAAACTATACTCTTTTGGCCTCAGAGACTCCGCTCTCTCCTGGCTCTCTTCCTATCTATCACAATGCTCCTTCAGTGTTACTTATAACACTGCCACCTCCCACTCACTCCCCCTCTCTGTTGGGGTCCCCCAAGGTTCTGTCCTCGGCCCCTTCTCTTCTCCATCTACACCTCCTCCCTCGGTCAACTGATACACTCCCATGGCTTCAACTACCATCTCTATGTCGATGACACTCAAATCTATCTCTCCACCCCTCACCTCACCCCTTCAGTCTCCGCCTGAATCACTAGCCTTCTGAACGACATATCAGACCGGATGTCACTCCACTTCCTCAAACTAAACCTTGCTAAAACCGAGCTCCTAGTTTTCCCCCCCAGCCCGTGCCCCCCCCACCCCTGGCCTCTCCATCCTGACCAACAAAGCCACCATCAGCCCCACCCCCCGCAAGCCAAAGTACTAGGTGTCATTCTAGACTCCAATCGGTCTTTCCAGCCCCAGATCCAATTGCTGAAAAATTCATGCAGACTCCACCTCCGCAACATCTCCAAAATACGCACGTTCCTAACTCCAGAAACCACAAAGCAACTCATCCACTCCCTTATCATATCACAACTTGACTACTGTAACTCCCTCCTTGCCGGCCTACCCCAACACAGGCTATCCCCACTTCAGTATATCCTAAATTCTGTGGCCAGACTCATCCACCTTACCAACCGCTCTGTATCTGCCAATCCCTCCACTGGCTTCCAATTGTCCAATGCATAAAATTCAAAATATTAACATTGACGTACAAAGCTGTTCATAACACTGCCCCAAACTACATCACCGACCTGATATCCATCTAGCACCCAACACGCACTCTCCGCTCCTCACAAGACCTCCTACTCTCCAGTTCCCTGGTCTCCTCCTCCCATGCCCATCTCCAAGACTTCTCCAGGGCTTCCCCCATCCTCTGGAACTCGCTACCCCAATCCATCAGACTGTCACCTTCCCTCCTCACCTTTAGGCGCACCCTGAAAACACATCTCTTCAGAGAAGCCCACCCAGCCCTCACCTAATTGCTGATCTCCTCCGCTCTTCCCACCACTCCATCCCCCACAGCTATTTCCTCCTGTACCACTCTCCCCTCCCTCCTAGATTGTAAGCTCCAAGGAGCAGGGCCCTCGAACCCCTCGTGTATCGCATTGTATTGTTAATGTACTGTCTCCCACTATAATGTACAGTGCTGAGCAAACTATTGGTGCTAAATAAATACTGTATAATGATAATAATAATGTTAGGCCTTCCTAACACAGACATACTTAAGTGTAGACCCATGCAAGGGCCATGTTTGTCTGCACAGGCATGAGGATGCACAGGTGTTTAGTACATCCTTCATGCAGGTAGTCCCATTCATTTCAGTTAGGATGCAGCAGCTGCACGGACATAGCCACTGCTCCCAATCTTACATCAGTGTGGGTACGGGTCCCTGAATCCACGCTGTCTGTGTTTGGGGACCAGTACCCACATGGAAGTCAAATTGGGAGCACACAACACGCATAAATTCCCCCAACACAGGTGTACGCATAAATGTGCATATGTGAACAAGGCCTAACAGTAGCGTACAGACATACATATATACATAAACACACATGCATATAAATATACGTATGCACCCGCATACATATGTATGTACACACACACACACATGTACACTCATACAAAAACTCACACACATACATACACACTCACGTACATGTACTGTATACATAGGC